TACACGCGGAATCTCGACAATTTTGCTCAAACGCATCTCTGTCTGCCCGAAGATTGCGGCTTTTCCATTGCGACTTGGTATTTCCGCATAGTTTATCCGTGAATTATTGATCTTCTAATCAAGTGGAATTAATACATAGGCATACAACAATATGAAAATAATTTACTCAAAATTTAAATCCCTCAAAAATCAAATCGAAGAAATTGGTTTAAAGTAATAATATGTTAATTATCAAATATATGTTTCACAAAATAATGTTAAATACAAAAATTAAAAAAAAAAAAAAGGAAATAAAACTTTTCAGTATTTTTTCAATTTGTGTTCTAGTTTTTCCTATTGACGCTCTCTTATTTCTTCATAGAACGAAAGATATATTTCGTCGCAAAATTGTATAAATTCGCCTGAAAAAATGCGACATCGACTTCTTTCCTCGAATAAGACGGCAGCTTCCTTGCGCACGTGCCTTGTGCGGTTATCGAGAAGGAGCGAGAGCGGAGAAGGAAGAAGAAGGGAGGATTTAAAAGTGAAAAAGTCACTGATGCCATGCGAGCGACGTGACCTCTCGTCGGTGACCCCGGACGAACCGGCCAGCGGAGGACGACGAAAGGAAAGAGGGAATGCCAGACCTCAGGCTACATTCACAGTTCGCCGAAAAAGGCATCGCACACAACCGGCACGCCGATTGCGCCGATCGGTCAGCAGACGTATAGGTATACACGTACCTCGTTCGAGAACTCGTCTTTTCCTGATTGCGGACAGGCGGAAGAATCGCCGACTGATTCGACGCCGCGAATGAAATTTGTCACGGAATCCTTGTATTTGACGTTTCCGCTACAATCTGATCGATCTATTTATGGCACAATGATACAATTTGATTGCATTGATCGACGATGAGAAATGCATGGAGCTAAATTACACCGGCGTGAGATCAAAAGAAATTAATCTTTAAAATATAAAGTAATAAATATATGTTCTTCTCATTTTTATGTTCTATCTCTTTTAGATTCAATTAATCTAAAAGTAAAATTGAAAAGTCAAAGACGACAATAATGCACCAAATATAAGAGAAATGTGTATATAAATATTTTCAGTTCATCTCTATAATTTTTACAAACTGAAACAACCGTAAAAAATTTTATTATTTATCGATTTTTTAAATATATTTAATATAGAGCACTCTCTTTCTCTCCTCAAATAAAAGATTTGACATTTACAACAAAATTATTTCGAAAGCGCAATTTCCCATGCTTTATCGAATGCAATAGGTTTCATGGTATAAATCGATTTACCCAATTCAACAACCATTAATGACCAATGAAACTAAAATTGACAAACTATCTTCAGATAAACTGTCAGTTTTTGATTATTCTATGCTCGTCTTAGTTTCTCTCAAACATAATTTTTTTAAATTTCCTATCTCCTTTCCTAATATATAATTCATGTACCTGCTTGATCAAACAAATTCTAGCAAATCGAACAGTTTCTACTCGATTTTCACTTTCCATACAAGAGTAAGATAATGATTTAAAATTCCATCGTTTAACACTGTTATTCGCGCGAATTGATCTACTGTCTGTCTACAAATATACAAAATGATTAGTTTAAGTAAAAAAAATATTTCTTCTAATAAAACAAAAAAAAATAAAAATTTATCAAAATGTATTTTTGATGTATTTACTAAAGTTACATTTAGGTAAGAAAAGAAAAATAATTAAACTTCTACACGGAGAATATATCTATTTGTTTGCTAAATACAATATATCTACTTTGTAAAAAAGTTGGCTAACTTCCGCATTATCGTTTGTCTTCGCTCCGCAACGCTCGGAGATAAAGGAGAGAGGAAAAGAAGGCAGGCCTCTGTCTCGTTACTTAGACTCCAATTTGAACTTTAAAGCGATCGCAGCGGTTTGCTAGGTCGCGGGAAAAAGTCACCTCGATCGGCATCGTCTAATGATCGATACGTTAATCGGTAACCCGGCCGAGCCTTGAATTACGGGAGAACCTTCTGGATATCGCGGGTTTCTGTAGCCGATATATCCTCCACTCACCGAGTATAAACCGAGTGCCTGTCAGTGTTACCTGCCATTCAGACAAATTCCGACCATTAAGCGTCGAACGTTGTGTTGCGGTTATACAAGCCCGCTCCTAAAGTCACGCTTCTAACCGAAGAATATGATGTTTGACCGTGGATTGACCCTTACGGTACCTCCAACGTCAATGGTTTAATTACGATAGAGTCATTTCTTCGTGTGGCGATTTTTGCAAACGATACATTCCACCCTTCTTTAAAGGTCAAAGCTGCATTTGGAGGACGGCGGCCCGTTCGCGTACACAGAGATACAAAAAAGATAATCTGCACGAACTACCGATCATTCCGTCGTTAACAATCTCACTAATTAGATAATTAAAATCCCAACTGTGTAGATGATGGATATTGATTAACACTAAACGGTTAGAGTAATGATCGCGATGCGGTAAGGCAGAAGGACTTTAACAAGACGGAAAGAAATTTTTCAGAATGGAAAATGCCTGAATAGGCATTTGAAAATAATTAGAAATATTTTATTCGTATATATATTGTACACGTGCACGCGTGTATGAATTACGTAAAATTGAATTTACTCAGCAAGTAGCAGCTTTTTTTGAAGAATTAAATATTAAATCAGAAAAAATTTTACTTTAATCATTTAGGCATAACTTAATATTTAATATTATTTCTCATGAATTTTAATTTATTTTTGCATAACACTCATGGGCGTCCGCAGGAAAAAGCAAGAGGAAGCATTGGCCCCCTTGGAATCAGTAAAAAATTAAGCATTTTTATTTAATATAAAAATATAAACAGAAACGAGTTATTAAAAATCAACCCAACTAGCCAAAAGAAATATATTTATTTAAAAACATAAAAATAACAAAAAAATAAAAAAATTAAGAAAAATACAAAAGAAAAAAATGTTAACCATGCCCCTGCCTGGAAAAAATCCTGCAGACGCCCACGATAACACCATATATGTGAGAGTCGCTATAGCTACGATTTTCACGTAATTGATCTATATTTCTAATTCTGTATCGATCTCGCCTTGCCTGTTAACCTAATCATCTTCCCTTTTCTAACCGAGCTAACGTGGAGTCATCAGCTCTACCGACTCGCCGGTCAGACAAATTCCAGTCATTAAGCGTTCGAACGTCGCCGTCACCGTCGTCGTCGTCGTCGTCGTCGTCGTCGTCATCGTCGTGGCTGTGAACCCGCCGTTCCGAAGCCCCCGTGTGCTAGGACTTGGTCGAAGGAATATAATGGTGGACCGTGGATTGACCCTTGCGGTACTCCCACCATCACCAAGGCAAGGCAAGGCACCGCCATCACCTACGCCACACGAAGCATCGCGCCGACGACACCGACTCGCACGACCACCGACTTATCTGGCCGAGAGTCGAGAGAAAGAAAGAGAGAGAGAGAGACGCGCACAACGCCTATGTAGTTTACTTCGAGGCTCAAGCTATACGTGCCGGGGTCATATTCTCATCGGCGATGCATGGCCGCCGGTACAGTCGACGGGAACAGTCGGTCGACTGGGACCGGCTGGCTCCGGAGGAGCGTGAGGAAAAAAGATCTAGCACACGGGTCAGTCGCGATTTTCAACGCTCGTAGGTTCACACCCGCCGCGTTCCAGCTTTGCGCGCGAAAAAAGTCGCGAAAATCATCCGGTTCGAATGCAAGCCCTTGGTGAGAAAAAAAGAAGGGGAGAGCTGCATCTTAAACGGCGCTTTTTCTATATGCAACGTGTTTTAAGCAACATTTTCTCGAAAATCAACTAATTGTTCTAATTTGGACATGTTCAATGTCTTAATTGTATATAAATATTTGAAAATATTAAATAATCCGTTATTTAATTTGAAATAAATTTATGCATAAATTATACAGCAAAAGCTGTTGTAACACGTCCTTTAAAAAATTCTGTATTTGTATATTTTGTAAATTAATCGAGTACGTCTATAAGATTGTGCGTTATCGGAAGAAATACGATCGATACAAATGTAATACGAAGTAATTCTGTCGAATTTAAAAAAGTCCATGAATGCTGTTATATATACTTGTTGATAATTGATCAATTAATGTTAAATAATTTATACGATAATATATAAACCGAGAAAAAAATGTTTTTCTGATTTTTAATCGTATAACAAAACACGCGAAAAAAAGAAAACTTTTAGAAATGCACAAATTAATTTTTAATCTTTGTATAATTTTATTCTTTTACACTGCGTTACGTTCCAATCTATTCTAATCATTGGCAACAAATAAAAATTTGATATCTATGCATAGGCATATCTTTTACGATAACGACTTTATGAATCGCCCCCGTTTTGCGGTCACTTTCAAAGAAGGGAAACGCTATTCGATCGGAAATTTTTTACGATCCATTAATTCCGGAAGTAACAGAGGCCACTCTCCATAACGCTATAATAACTTTAACCTACCGTTTCTCGGGTAGGTGTAGCTTTTTTCCTACAGAGGCATATTTGCTAAACTATTCTCCAATAATACGTCATTACACTATGTAATTAATAACGCTACAATAATTAAATAAAATAAAACAAGAAGATGCGCCGTTTTAAATAATTTTTTTCTTGGTAATAATTTTATTTCACAGACATATAATTACTTAAGATTTTTGACACATATTTAAGTTTTAATATGATCTAATTATTTTTTTAAAAGTTGAGAAAATGTTGACAGTTAACAGTGTAAATATCCATGATAAATGTATCTGTATAATTATTTTTTGGAATAATATAAAATTGTATAAATTTTGTCTTTACTATAATAAAATATTATTAGATTTGACGCGTTACGTTTATAAATTTTTCTTACATTTCTTAAATAAAAGAAGAAGTAAGAATTATAGCTCCATGTTCATATAATGCTCTCAAAGAGATAATACAATAGGAAATTATCGACAATCAAAAGTAATAAAAAAAAAGTGGCATTAATGACTCACCAATGATGTCGTCGTTCGCTGCTTCCCTTTTTCCGTGACTTGTTTAAAATTTGTTCAGCGCCTGAAAAATATAAGAAACAGAAATTAATAAAATCATTTAGAATTGCTTAGGACGATATTTGAATCTCATTTTGATAATACATATGGGAAAAATTTCTTTCACCGTTACATGCGCTACATTTCTATATTTCAATGTCAAACACATGTGCACATACATTCGGCTGTCTATCAACTATAAATATAATAAAATGCGAACCAAGCCAATCAGTCTTCCAATGTTCTCAATTAAATACAAAATATTTTCTTATAAATATCGTGCATCTTTTTATAGCAAAAAAGATTTCCAAATATTTTTCGCTTGTAACATCAATTAATCTTAGATTTACTCCAAGTACAGAACCGAAATTAGAGAATGATATGTTTCTCGCGAGTTAATTCGTAACATTTGTTCCTGTTGCGTGCCACATTTTCCAACGAATATCGTTCTTAGCTGCGGGGAGTTTGCGTTTAAAGCCGCGTGCTTTCTCGCATATTATCGTCCACATATTACTAAGACGCTTTTGACAAAGATTGATTGTGAACAGGCCCCCTGGCAGCTTTTCTTCCGGATTGAGTTAGATCGGCGCGCGTAAATATGGCGCCATCGGGTAACCTCGCGGACCCGCGCTTAGATTAAGCACCGAGAGCGCCATATGATTCTTAATTTGGTGGCGAGGCAAGCCGACGATAACGCAACATGGCCATCGAAGTATCGTTAACGAGCTGTTTACCTGCTATGCCTTAATTTATCCAACGACGATCTCGTTGGTCACGACGATCAATCGTCGGAACTAAGTTTCTGCTTCGTTTGTGCCCTAAGAGGATCGTTAAACTGTCACGTCCGTTCACGCGACTTCATAATTTTCAACCGTGACGTTTTCAAAATCATCGTCTTGGACGTTTAAACGATCGTCTCGCACGAAGTCGTATAACAGTAACACCGGCCTTAATTAAGACTAACACATCGTATATAAAACTTGTCGAAAACTTTCGAAAAGAAACTAGATTCGAACTCAAAGAACCTTTGGAAAATCATGGTAATCACGTGGGAAAATAAATATTCATATATACATAGTAAATTTTACTATTTATTAATATGTACATAGTAAAATTAATCGAACACATTTTATATGTTATTATGGATATTACTGTATTTTATTGTGGTGTAAATATTAATCAGAGAAACTCTAATAAAATCCTTCCAATACCACATATTGTCCTATATATGATTACCATAATTTTCAGGGTAAATTCTAAGAGAAAATGTTCTCTGCGTGTTTATATGCGAATGCTAATGTTATTTGAAAATACGGGACATGGAAAGAGGCGCAAGCACGTTTTCACGGATGAGAATGGAAAAATGGTGGAACATACTGTATACGCACAGAGGGAAAAGCTGATATAAATGCGATTATTTCGCACGACTCTCTCGGAAACTAGGCTGCCTCGCGGAATCTGGATCGAGTGTTGAGCGAGTCGGCCGTGTTGTTATCGGCCCATTATCCGGCCCATAGTGCGCAAAGGTACACCCATGCAAGCCGTAGTAGCGCGCGTGCATAGTTTCGCGCGCACACGTCCCGATACGGTTTCAGTTACCTAATCGTCTAAGTCGGTGTTGCACAGCGTCGACGGTTTTTACGGTGCCTCCCTCGTCCTCGAACGCGGGACCAACGATGCGTGAACGCAAACTTCACTCGTTCCATTACATTTTCTACTCGGATAATCTGGTATCGGGACCCGCCGGCGAACCCTTCCACGATTCCCCTTCAGAGTTTCTCAATCTCCGTCCCCGCTAACGCATTCCTGGCTCGGATCGCGGGATTTTTGCGGCGAGGGCGATAGCGCCGTAAGTAGCGGCGTACAAAATCGTTTGTATTATCTACTTGTCTCGGAAAAAAAACCACTGCGATAAACGCGATGGTCGAACCGCCCCACTGAGAATCACTGATACGTAGAGATATACGCAAGATATACGAGATGATTTCAGATAGACTCTATATAGTTTTATCAACAGTCCCCTTTCGATTTAGCCTATCTTATTTATATATCGAATTTATTTGCCATTTCGAAAAATATTCCCTAAGGCATTTTTTAAAAATTTCTTAAAAAAAAATATATATATATATATATATACACATGTTAAAAAAATTAAATTATACTTCTTCGACACGAGCCCATTGTTTAGAGATTACGACATTTATAACTGGAAATCTAATTGGCTCAGGGACACCCTGTATACATATCACTCGAAGTCAAGTCTGGACGTATGCGGTAGCCTATTACGAATACGTAGTTATGCTTAACTGTACAGAGAACTCGACATACTGTTGTATGTATGCAAGTATGTACCTAGTCTCGCGTAGAAAAGAGCCCTCCGCACGAGGCTACGAACGTGTTCACGTATTTATAAGCAGGCTGACACGCGGCCAGGCCAGGTCGCAATTTGTCCGAGTCTTTAAACGCGCATTTCTCGTGTTTGATTTCAAACCTCCTCCTCGGGATCGTAAGTGATAATGGAAATAAAAATCTAAAAACACCTCTCGCTTCTCGGAGCTTTTGTGCGAGCATGATTTTTTCCATGTAAAAAAAATCATAATGTTCTCCAGATTTTTCAAATCCAGATATTTCAAAATCAGATTTTTTAATAAACTTGAAACATTGATTTTTTGTTCCAATTGTATTCTATAAATCGGATGTTAAAACAATCTGCTTTTTATAAAAATTTATATAAATAATGTTTTATTTATAACTGAAGCAATTTGTAAAATTCATATCTCTGTGCAATTAATTCAATAACATAGAATTCTATATACATTTTAAGTCTAACAATAAGTTGTTTAAAAATATTACTCAACTTATCTTAGCATAACGCCATCGATAAAATACATTTTATAAATTCGTCATGTATAATACATTTGATAAATTCTCAATTTAGAACTGTTGAACGATACGTTATAAGTAAGATGAATCGTTTTCCCTCCCGAAACACCTGTAAACTCGAAATATATGATTACCATATTGTCGAGTACGAACGTTTTGCTCTTACAGTCTTTGTCTTCTCATCCCGCAACGCGATCTTGCATACGCTTATCCGCAGCGTATTTCATCCCGCGCCGGGGCTTATGGATGCTTATATAAATCAACAAGGCTCACAATTAATATCGCGGGCTATATACCGCGACGATTAAAAAAATCGAGCTGGACTAGACACACCGGCGCGGCGTGGCCGCTCCGCATTGTACGATTTATTGGAATATACATCTCACGAACCGTGACACCTACGCTGTAAATTCACGCCGCTCGCAATTAGTATCAGCCCTTAAAAATAAGGGAATAGGAAAAAAAAAAGATTGTGAATTCCCTCAACGAGGTGCTAATGCCCTCTTACACACGGCGATCTTATCTAGTTTTCCTCGCGAAAATCTTTAGTCGCGCGAAATAATTTATGCGTCTACCAATTACGCGCGAGATGCGATAAATGTGTCGTAAATTAACGCTAATTACAATTAACCTTGGGCGTTAAAAAAATAAGGAAATAATCGCGATAAATATATTGAATCATTAGATCTTTAGCTTGCGTACAATTAATGCATTTTATAACAAAAGAAATACGATACAGTTTAGAAGAATGGATCATGTACATATCATAATAATATATCCCGACATTTAAAAAATTATCTCCATTTTTTCGACAGAATATATATATGCATAAGATGCATTTAGATATTTATTTCCTATCATTTTTACATATACAATATATTTGAATAGACCAAACAGGTGAGATTTTTTCCTTAATATATTTATAATGCTCGACTGCATTTTATATATATATATATATATATAAAATAATATGTCCCGACATTTAAAAAATTATCTCCATTTTTTCGACAGAATATATATATGTGCATAAGATGCATTTAGATATTTATTTCCTATCATTTTTACATAAACAATATATTTGAATAGACCAATAAACAGGTGAGATTTTTTCCTTAATATATTTATAATACTCGACTGCATTTTATATATATATATATATATATATATATATGAAATGCAGCCGAGTATATTATAAATAAGGGATGCAAGTAAGAAAAAAAGATCGATCCCGGCGGGCGTCGGAAAGTCGCGAGCGTGATGAAGAAGCGAGGAAGTTTAAATTCCGTAGGCGCGCGCTGTATATTACGCGAGCGTTTATAGGAACAGGAGAGTGGAGCAACATGACTTATAACCGAGTTATACTCGCCACCGGTGATTTCCCATTATACGACCCGGTATCCGAGTCATCCTGCCTCCCTTCACCTCCCTTTCTTCGAGAGAGGATTAAAGGCATCTCGAATAAGGTTGGGATACTACTTGCAATATTGAGGTTGCGTCGTATCGCATCTGCGCCCGCGTACGATTCTCATTGCGTGGCAGCAATAAATATGCTGATTAAGCGGCAACGCGCGAGGTCGGTTAATTTGCAGTATATCAGTATCCAACAGCGCATTTTAATTGGCCGTGAAGCATTATTGCGGGGGAAATAATCCACGGCTAGACTTTTCAATAATAAAATCGCGCCGCTGACAATCGAGGAATGGAGAAAGGGGAGCTGAAGATGCTGAGGAAGAAAAAGAAGAAAGTTCAAGAATGGATGATGGTATTACTGGTCGCAATTAATTACGTCGTTGATTACAATTTCACGACTGTCAAAATTAGCGAAACGTCGTTATTACCGTGACTTTGTATATTCCGGAGGAAGAGACACACGAGACGAGCGTTGCCCAACTATCTATAGTTACGGATTTCGTTGCAAAATCGCTAAAAGGCCTCTACTCGCCACGTCAATTCTTTGCTGCAACCTTGAAGCAATAAACAACGTAGCTTGAACGCAGCCGCGAGCGCGAGATTCCTCTTCTCTCGGTATATCTGACCGATCATGATTGCGAAAAATCATCCTGCACTCGAGGAGCAGGCGAAAGAGCGAAAGTCCAAATCTATCTCGACTAAAGGTTTCCCTCGGGATGCAACTGACATTAT